TAATGGCATAGCCCCTGAAAGAGAATGGTCCCTACTAAATACAAGGATTTTATTTCATCTTCCTGCCATGGGCAGAGCCTAGGGCTTCGACCTAGGTTATTTATTTATTTATTTATTTTTTTGAGACACTCTGTCACCCAGGCTGAAGGGCAGTGGCACGATCTTGGCTCACTGCAACCTCTGACTCCTGGATTCAAGAGATTCTCGTGCCTCAGCCTCCCTAGTAGCTAGGACTACAGGCATGCATCACCACACCTGGCTAATTTTTGTATTTTTAGTAGAGGCGGGGTTTTGCCATGTTGGCCAGGATAGTCTTGAACTCCTGGCCTCAAGTCATTTGCCCATCTTGGCTTTCCAAAGTGCTGGGATTACAGGCATCAGCCATCTCAACCAGCCTGATTTACCTTTAATCTATTAAAACTTCAGCTTGATTTTGCTGGATTTAGTTTTAGTTTCTCTCCTCTCTTCCCCCAAAATATATCAAAACTTCAATTTAATTTTGTCTAAATTTAGCCTCAAAAAAAGCAGACTGCTGTGATTTGCTTACTTTTTGAGCTCTGGCTTTCTCTTAGCTTTTGGCTTGGCAATTAACATTTGCTAATTTCTCATTTTTGAAATAAACAAAATTTTAAAACAGAATTATCACATAATCCAGCAATTTCACTTCTAGAATACCCAAAACAATTAAAAGCAGGGACTCAAACAGATATTTGTTCATCCATGTTAATAGCAGCCTTGTTCATAATAGCCAAGAGACAGAGGCAATCAAATATCTATCCACAGATCAAATGTTGTCTATATAAAAATAGAGTATTATTCAGCCTTAAAAAGGGAATTTTGACACACAGGCTACAACGTAAATAAATTCTGATACTATGGTAAGTAAAATAAGTTTGTCACAAAAGGACAAACACTGTGTGATCCACTTATAAGGTACCTAGAGTAGTCAAATTCATATAGAAGGTAAAGTGGGAGCTGCCAGAAGCTGACAGCAAAGAAGAATGGGAAGTTATTGTTTAGTGGGTACAGAGTTTCAGTTTGAGAAGATAAGAAAAGTTCTGAAGATGGATGGTGGTGATGATTATACAACATTTTGATTGTATTTAATGCCATTAAACTTACATTTAAAAATAGTCAAAATGGTACATTTTTGTTACGTATGTTTTATAATTTTGAAAAATATTTAGAGTTTTCTTACCTACTCATTTGTTATAAATACATAAACACATTAATAGTATTTATATGCTTCTGTGAAGTATTTATATGCTTAACAAGGACGTCTTCAGAAAGTGCTTTGTGGTTTAACTGTCAAGTCTGAAATACCATTAAATAGACTAAGCCCTTACTCATATAAACATTTGAATCTGAAAGATGTTTTCTTCATATAGAACTATGTGAAGGAAAAATAACAAAGGTATTGGAAAATAGCAAGACATAAGAAATAAAATTAGGCCTCATTTGATATTCTACTCCCAGTGTCAAAAGGCTCATAGAGATACATTTCACATTACTTCAATCCAGATATCTTTGAATCAAAGCTATTTCATATAATGCTATAATATAAAATTGTATCTCCAATTAATTTAAAAAATCTATAGTAATATTCTCAAACATGAGTAATACTTAAAAACTTAGATTTGTAGAATTTCACTACTATGTATTTATTTTATAAAAAGTTCAATTAGAGAATATTTTAAAAGTTGAATTCTTAACTAGTTGTATAAGCATCAATTAAGTACTTTTCATTATAAACATATTTACAGTTAAGGGATTAAAAAAAAAACTTCTTATAAACCACTAACACCCTTTCCTAGGGGTGGTTACTCAGGCTCCAAAAATAAAGAAGGGGACAGGAGAGGAGGGGAGGGAAAATGAGAAGGAAGAAGGGAAAAGGAAAAATGTTTTGCTTGTCAAAGCTCCTCAGGCTCCCTTTACCACTCTTAACTAGTCTATTATCACCTTAGAAATAAATGCATCCACACCTATCTTAATCTATTTCACACTACTTTTAAAGAACAGGCATATTTTCTGTAATAAGATCCCTCCATAACTTTGTGATAAGGTGTTTCTACATTTCTCACCTGTGGCTCCTTCCTTTCCCTTTATTTTAATAAAGATGCTTAAATTTCCTCCATCTTAAAAACAAAAATATTTTCTGTGACTTTGTATGTCCCTTTTATCATGGCCTTTAAAATCAGTGGCCTTGAAGGGTAATCTTGACTCCCTCTCTCCACTTCTTCTCCAATTCTCTTTTTAATTCATTCTTACCTCTTTCTCCATCCTGCTCTTGTCAAAGTCTCTCTTGCCAAAGTCTCAACTCATTACCGAAAAAACCAACAGATATTTTCAGTACTCTCTTTGGCATATGAAACAATAGACCATGTTTCCTCAAAATTTGCTACTTTTCCTTCACTGTTACTCTTCTTCTTATCTGCAATAGAGTCTAGTTTCTATGTTTCTGGTTAAATAGATTTATAGACTTTTTTATACATATTTATACATTTATACAATTTATGGCATCTTTACAAAACATTTTAATGAAATCAGGAGTCAGGAGTATCCCCCAAAATCTTTTGTTTTACATGGTAGTTTGCTGGTTATCTGGTAACAAAGCATTTATAAAGAACTATTAAACTTAAAGATAAACTATGCATTTTAGATAACTATCAATTGTTCTAAATTTGATCACTCTCTCTTTGATAAAAAGTAGATAAAGTATTACACTATCGAGAAAATGTTAGAAAATAAATACCTTTCCTGCAAGGAAAATATGATATTTTGACAAAAAATGAGAAAATAAATGCTTTTTGAAATACACATTATGTAGCAACTATTTTAAAAAGAGTTCATTGTTGCCAAAAATGTCATTAATTAAAACATATCAGCACACTTCAGAAATATGAAAAACAAAATTATCTGCTTTTAAATCTATCAAAACATTTTCATAGGTTCTGAACTTGTTAAAACTTTCGAAAGCAAATCTTTTCAATTAGTCTGCAGCAACAACTAATTGACTTGAGGAAAGACAGTATTCAGTAGCTGATTTCAACAAAAACCTTTGAACTACTAGTAGACAGAATTAAAAAAACGTAATTTAGTAAGCATGGCCAATTTTCCATTTCTTTCATTTGGATCTACATATCTTTATGAGGTATCTTTTTCAAGTGTAACAGTTATTAAAAGCCAGTATTCAAACAACTACACACAATTCCATTTTTATTACATAGTATTTTATTAAGTAGTTACACGTTTCACCAACCAGACTGAGTTATTTACAAGTGAAGATTTCTGTCTTCATATTTGTGTCCCTAGGACTTTGACTATGTGGCATACAATAAATAGTTATGCAATCAATGTTCTGCAAATGAATGACCAGAAATACAGGCAAGTATATTAAAATGAAAATTCACAAACACATGAACACACACATGTAACTATGTGTGCAACTGTGTACTACTTGATTAGGTAAACAAAGTATTATCTAAAATGGGATTAGCCCCAAATCACAATGCTTACACACCAATTTGATGTGTTTTATGGGTCAGCTTAAAATTCATTCACATACATTCTGACTTTCCTAATTAGGATATGTTCTCATAAATGAAAATATCATAGTTATCCCATACTATATGACAGAATCTTTACTTTCAACATGTTTTATCATTGATATGAGGAATGAATATAAAGTCGAGAAAAAATAAAGCAAAACCAATAGAACTGTTCCCACGATAGAACAATGGATACATAACTCAATATAAATAAAACAGTAAATTAAAGATTAGATGTTCAAAATAACCAATTGGAAATAAAAATCAAACGTCAGCTTTTTATTTATTATTATTTATTTATTTATTTATTTTTTGGAAACAGAGTCTTGCTCTGTCGCCCAGGCTGGAGTGCAGTGGCGCGATCTTGGCTCACTGCAGCCTCCATCTCCCAGGTTCCAGTGATTCTTGTGCCTCAGGCTCTTGAGTAGCTGGAACTACAGGAGCGCACCACCACACCTGGCTAATTTTTTGTATTTTTATAGAGACGAGGTTTCTCCATGTTGGCCAGGCTGATCTCGAACTCCTGAGCTCACGTAATCTGCCCACCTCAGCTTTTTATTTTAAGACTTTGTTTATATCCACTAATCTCACAAAGAATTTGATGGCTACTTAGCATAATTTTCACCATGGTATAAATTTTCATTTTATGCTATATTAGAAAGTTATTAAAATCATAAATTATATAATTTTAATACAAATATTTCCCAATATAAAATTATACTTAGTTGTCTATGGAAATTAAAGCAAAGAAGCCAACATTCCAATTTTACCTGAAAAAAATTAGACAACGCACACATAAAATGATATTCTATTAGTATGTCTTCTAATTTTATCTTCAAAAGAAAAAGTTCTAAGAGAAAAGGAAACAAAATAAAGTAGAACAAATGCTGTTCCCAAAAAAGGATTAGGATTCATAGAATATAAATTTTTGCTAATATAACACAGATAAATTGCTAATAATTATCGGAGTTATTATAGTCAGATAAAAATTTACCTTATATAAAGCTAAAATACAAAATGATTAAAACTTAAGCTGAATCTAATGGGTGACAGCTACCAATCTTCTGTGCCTAAATTATATCTAGGGTCTTTTCTCTTCAAAATGCATTGCAAGGACAGCATGGAGCTCAAGAATACAAAAGCTGCAAAATGGAAGGTATCGTAAATAAGGCAGTACTTCTATAGCAAATGTTATCACTGCTATTCTTTTTTTAAGAAACATTATGAAACTTCCCAGAAATCTTTCTCCCTCATTCCTAGATTTATCATTACCTTAATTGTGTAAATTTAATATTATCAAAAAATGTATCCATGGTATACTGATTGTACTCTAGTAGTCCCTAATGTATTTTAAAAAAGTAACTATAATACTTAAAATGTCAAAACAAAATCAAAATAAGATGAAATAGGCAAAGTCAAATTTAAAAGCTAAGCTATCCCATTGATACCTACCTCCTGCAAATGCCATTAGCCAGACATTTATGGCTACAGGATTTGGAAGAGAGGGGTGATGAAGTTGGGGACAAGTTGAGAGGGGCAATCAAACTGTTGATGATCTCAGTCAACTGTGCACTCTGCAAGGAAACAGTCAACCTTTTACTACTGCTAAGCAAGAAATGTGAGTTAAAGCTCACATGTATAGTGCCAATTAATGCTTAACGTCTCATGACACGCGTTTTTATTTCAGTAAACATTTTATTAGACAGACAATTTATACAACTGATTTTTCCATTTATTACAAATAAATCTATATTTTAATTACACATTCTTTTCCATATCCTTTTTTTATTATAGTTCCTTCATCTACCCATCCCATCATCTAACACATTTGAACCCAGCTAACAGCCTTTATATAATATTTCCCTTGAGGCAGGAAAATTAATAATTAAAAATCACAGATACAATTTATTAAGTGCCTACTATGTGCCAGGCATTATATCAGGCACCACACATAGAATATTTCTAATCTTTACAACTAACCAGCAAAGAAGATAGTAATAGAGGTATTGACATCACTATTATTAATACCAGTACAGATGAGTAAATTCTAGCAAAGAAAAAAAGATTAAGTAGCTTGATCAAGGGCTATAAAGTTGGTATGAAACAGAACTAGGATTCAAATTCAGGCCTAAATCTAACAGCACACTGTTTCTCAATATTTTTCCTAATTCAAAAATATCAGGGTTTTTTCTTTTTTAGCACCTAAGATTTCACTGACATTTGTCCCAAACTTAAATATATGCAATAAATATTAAATTATTATAATATACATAAATATTATTCTCAAACAATCACAATTATAATAAGCAAAGGCCACATAAAAAGGAATAGTACATTTCTACAAAAGAATGACAACTATTTTCATTACACCCGTAATTCATCATAGAAGAACTGGAAAATATACAGACATTTTAAAAATGAAAAGAGAGTCATCTGTAATTATACTTCAAAGAGAAAACCAGAGCTAACATTTAGGTATATATTTCTCCCTCCAGACTAAGTTTCCTGCGTATATGTAAACATGAGTGTACATTCAACTTGCACACATATACTTTTAATTAAATCAGGCTACATCAATTTTTTAAAACCTAGTTTTCCTACTTAATATAGTGTGACTAACTTTTTAAAACATACAGACGTAGTTCAACATTTTCAATACTGCAAGATACTCTATTGTGAAATAAAGGGGTATATGGAATAATTAGTTTAGAATGCATCATTTGTATGAAACTAATAACATGCTATTAGAAATGAGACTAAATAATATAATAAAGACTAATATTTCATCCCTTCAAAAAGTCTTTCATGAGAAAGACCTTGAAATGTTTTCATCATTTATTTTCAAGATAATATGCACCTAATGATGTCATTTTAAAAATTATTACTCAGTTTTTAGATTAAAGCTCATTTTTAAAATCACCAATAGAAATGGATTCTTCATCCATTTAGCAAGTAATCATTAGTTTAATCATGCAAATAAATTCTGAAGTATCTCATATCTTCTGACTGGAAACGCTAAAACACTCCTGCGATTGTTCCACCTCCAAAAAACATCATCTAAAATCTTTTAAGCCACTGGAAGTCGCTAGTTGGATATATGTGAATAATGGGCCAGGAAGGGGGAAATTACAATCCCTATCTTTACCCTAAGAATCAGCCTACTCTGGCCCAATAAAATCTCGCATACCTGAGTCATATGGGGGAATACAGGGAATAGAAAAGTCACAGAGAAAATGTGAATGAGAAAAGTAAAATTAAGAGAAGCATAATTTGAACTCTGAAAACAAAAACTAATCAACTGTAAGTTAAAACACTAGCTACTCTTAACAAGATTTATAATGTAAATACACCAGTAGCAAATTCATTTTAAATCACCTAAAGCAGAAGTCCCCAACCCCCGGGCTACTGATGGGTACCTGTCCATGGCCTGTTAGAAACCAGGCTGTGGAGCAGGAGGTGGGCAGAAGGCCAGCAAGAATTACCACCTGAGCTCCGCCTCCTGTCAGACCACCCACAGCATTAGATTCTCATAGGAGCTCGAACCATACTGTGAAATCCACGTGCAAGGGATCTAGGTTGCTGCTCCTTATAAGACTCTAATGCCTGATGATCTGAGGCGGAACAGTTTCATCTCAAAACCATTCCCCCACCCCCACCCTGTGGAAAAACTGTCTTCCACAAAACCAGTCCCTCATGCCAAAAATGCTGCGAACAGCTGACCTAAAGTACTAAAAATAAAGTATTAATACTTTTCAATTTATGAACTATATATTATCTAACAATGCGAGCATGTATTAATACTATGAATCAATAAGTTATTTTTTAAATGACAGTCTACAACTCAATATTGCCTTTATATGTTAACTTCCAACTCTAACAAAACTACTTTAGTCAAGTTGAAAGATTATGAGTGAACAGTTACATATCAGTAGATTATCCTAAGAAAACCATGCATAATAATGGGCTTGCTATCCCTACCACTTAACTCACTCCTAGACTATCTTCTGCAACAAGTTTTTTTGTTTGTTTCAGATAGTGTCTAGTTCTGTCATCCAGGTTAGAGTGCAGTGGTGCCATCTGGCTTACTGCAATCTCTGCCACCTGGGCTTAAGTGATCCTTCTACCTCAGCCTTCTGAGTAGCTGGGACTACAGGTGTGTGCCACCAAGGCCAGCTAATTTTCCTATTTTTGGTAGAGACGGGGTCTCCCTGTGTTGCCCAGCCTGGTCTCAAACTCTTGGGTTCAAGTGATCTGCCCACCTTGGCCTCCCAAAGTGCTGGGATTACAGGCATGAGCTACCATGCCTGGCCAACAAGTATTTAAAAACAACTTAAGCTTTTAAAACTTGGCCTATAAAAATCATTATTACCACATTTCAAGAACAAATGACTTGTTCATAGGCAATTTATTAACAACCTCTACAAGTAATTGCTGCTGCCCTTTCTGAATCTTTTTCTTCTGCTCTCCTTACATGGAGCCATTACTGCTCTCACAACTCTTGGTTCCTTATACTATCAAAGACCCCTGACAGTTCATCAGCAATGAGACCTAAAATGCTACCCAGGGCCAGCTTCATGGGCATGCAACCTGTGCACCAGGCTGAGCGCAGATGGGGGCTATGCTTGCTTAGTGCTCTACTGTCACTGTCTTTTAATTCATAACTTTTTAACAAAGGGCTCCACAATTTCATTCTGAACTAGGATCCGCAAATTAGGCAGTTCTGATGTCATCTCAGGTCCAACCTAAGAAAACTGGGGATACCAAGGAGAAAGGAAAAAGTACAAGAAATCTTTTAGAAATGAAAAATCTTAGAATTAATTTAATCAGATTACAATTTCCAATGAATTTCCAATGAATAAGTAGTGACCTAAAGATGGTGAAAGTAGATTTGACTGAGTAAGCAAATAAATTACTCTAGAATGTGAAACAACTAGGATCAAACTGAACTAGGATCAAAACAACTTGATCCTATTGAATGAGGGGAAGGAAAAGAAAGAGGAAAGTGGGAATATAGAAATATAACAAAAACTAATTTAAATCACTGCCTATATGGTCAAGTGCATTCTAATTTGACATCAGATAATTACCAAACAGCTTTCTAAATTACAAAATATTCATAAGTGCCTTGATTATACATTCCAATTAAGAAAAACTCTGGGCAATTATAAATTTAACAAATACAGGGCGGAAGAAATTATACCATATTTTGGTTTACCAGGAACAATACAGTAACCTGTATTTAGTTATTTCCTGGTATGTCAGAAAAACTCAGGAAAATTAGATGCAGGCAGGCATGAATCTATATCATTTCCCAGAGAAACAATGTAATGATGCGACTATGGTGAAGAATGGCTCAGCTTTAAAGTAAAAAAGTTCTAGAAACCGAGTTTGTTTAAGAGCCACTAAAGTCTAAATCAAAATAAATTGTTCAATTTCCAAGGACAGATATAGGATATACTGGCCAGAATAATTAAGCTTGTAGAGATATCCACAATAGAATTTAGATATCAAGGAAGGCTTTGGAATCAAAGTAATTGTTAGGAGCTTTTTCGACTTTACATTTACATAATCATTTTTTATGAAGAAATACATATTCCAATATTACCTTTCACTAAAAATCTTGATCAATAAATTAGTCAAACACCAATTAAGACATATTAACTGGTACCACTGTTCTCTCTCCTTGAAAAAAATCCAATGATAGACAATTTTGTCAGAAAAAAGATTTTCCAATTCCTGTAAAAATAAATTATCATCCTATGGCCATAACAATACCATTACTTTACATATCATATTTAAATAAATTTAATTATATTGGTATTATAATGGAAACCAGTCATATGGCAAATATTTTAATTGTATTTAATGCCAAATGGCCTAGTTTAATAACCCATATGCCAGGAAGATACACATATAATGATGTTTATTTGAATAGTTTATAAAATCGATGAAAAGTCATTTCATACCACTGATATCCTTACTTTGACTTTACCTGTTTTTCGATGTTTCGAAGAAGTAAAGTAGGGCTGCTTGGTGACATTTCAAAATCTTGTTCCGGTACAGGATCTTGACACTCTTGGGGAACCTGAGGATTCCCTAGAATGTTTAGTGAAGCTGCTTGGTCTGCAAATTGCATTTGTTTTTTCAAAATGTCTTTTGGAAGCTGACATTCTTCTAGGACCACTATCCCCTAGACAAAAAACAATGAGAAAGTTGAAATGAAAACAAACTGATTATTAAACCACCTTTAATGCTACAATGCACTTGAATCTATGCTTCCTCTTAACCCTCGGAATTCAGAAAATATAAACTTGAAAGTATAGTTTAACTCTGTAAAGAACTGGCTGGTTTAAAACATGTGCAGCTAAAATAACATATATGGCTGATAGGTTGGACTTGTAAAATATTTTCTTAACTTAAATACATGCAGTTTTTTTCTAATTGGTTTTAATTATTGGCATTAAAAGCATGACATTAAAATAAAATTAAAGGCATATTATACACAGAATATGGACATTTCAGATTGAAATCAGAATATTTCCTGATAGAATCTTCTGATATTTTGGTCACTAGCATTTCTATTTGTGCTTTACATTTGAGCACTCCCAATTTTATAAATTAAAATACCAAATTTACAAACATCCAAACAACAATCTAACTCTATCCTAACTCCTTTCAGAGCACCCTAAGGAGCCCTGCCCCTGTTGCTGTCAGCCTGAGCAACCAGGGATAGGATTGCACCACTGAGAAAGAGTACTCTCTAGGCCAAAGTTCCCACTGCTTTCAAGATATCTGTGTTAATAATAAAGACACAAGCTTTCAACTTTGATGGGGTATATTCTCAAATGTAAGGAACTAGGGGAATGAACAGGGATTAAGTTGTCTCTGTACTCCCTGCCTCCTACTCACAAACATACTTATTCCTCAACTGGTTTGCTCGGCTTTCTCCTCCATTCCCCAGCTTCCTCACTCCAACTGTTCTCAACTTTAGGTTCCTCAGAGGCAATGGAGACAACAGAGAAAGAGAAAAAAGGAGTGCAAAGGAATGATCTTAATGGTTTCATAGTTCTCATTGTAAAATTTCTTTCCTTCCTATCCCTTCTACCACCCTTCCTCCTGAAAATAATACAGTAATATATACTGTATAATAGATATTAAACATACACAGATATTGTTATATATATACTGATATTACATATATTATATATTATATAGACACACCGGTTTTACATATATAATATATAATATATATTTGAAAAATAATATATAATATATATTTGAAATATAATATATAATATATATTTGAAATATAATATATAATATGTATTTTTCAAATATATATTACATATTAGAAAAATGCTAATAAATTCCTATAGGCTAGTTGGAAAAGTATTACACTCTTAATGTGGCTAAAATACTATATTCTTGTAATAAAAAATAACTAACATATTAATATTAGTGTTCATTATTTCAAAAATGGAATGAATTAAATGATTGCTGTGGGCCATCTATATCATGCATAAGTCTTATTTATAAGATGGAAATTGCCTATAGGTAATAATGTGTTATATATGAGTTTTAGTTTGCACTACATAATTTAGAGAATATATAACTTTAGAATGCACATATTCAGTTATGGTATTATACGTGTATTTTATTATTTTGTAGCAACATTTTCTGTAAAAGTACTAAATGCACTTTTTTTAAAATCTGTATTTTGAATAGTGCTAACATGCTGACTTTTCCAAGGAGAAGGGGATCCACTCGATCCCAATTACTGTTTTCTTAGAATGAACAAATATGGTTGTCAAGAAATCTGAAGAAACATGCTCAAAAGTTCTTATTTCGTTTGGTATTTTAAAAATTAAATTAGATATAATAGATATGGTATCATCAATCTGAAAAACTCTTCAGAGTATCCATTCAAAATTCCTACAAGTCTCTCACTAGGTTTCTTCATAAGTACCTGCATGTAAAAGAAACACAAGTTTCCACCTTATCAATTTAACTTCAATTGTCTTTGGTTTGATTCCAGTTTATATTATGGGCCAGTCTGTATAGATTAGTCTGATTTCAGTCTGTATACATTAGTCTGATTTCATAATCTATATTTATAAATCTGCATCTATGGAAAAATTCTATTCTGAATTTCAAAGTTCTATTTCCAAACCTTTAGAATACTACCTTTCTATAAGTAGAAAGCCTGCTATAGTTAGTTTAATAAAGAACTTTATTTTTAAAATTCAACCAGGGAGGCAGGGCGTGGTGGTTTACGCCTGTAATCCTAGCACTTTGGGAGGCTGAGGCAGGTGGCTCACTAGAGGCCAGGAGTTCAACACCAGCCTGGCCAACATAGCAAAACCCTGTCTCTACTAAAAGTACAAAAATTAGCCGGGCATCATGGCACATGCGTTTGGTCCCAGCTACTTGGGAGGCTGAGGCAAAAGAATTGCTTGAACCCAGGAGGCAGAGGTTGCAGTGAGCCAAGATCGCACCACTGCACTCCAGCCTGGGTGACAGAGACTCTGTTTTAAAAAAAAAAATTAGAATTCAACCAGAGAGACCTTCATAGTCAACTTCATAATCTGCTTCTTCCCCCATAAACTACTACCCTGCACAAAACTCTTGGAGTGTGAGGAGAGTGGCCCATTCTGATCCGCCACTGCCAAGAATGGAGAGGAAAGGGTTGAATATTTAATCCTCTGGGGACACAGCAGAGAGTTTCTGTTCTTAAAATCAGTAAAATTATATTCTCATACACAAAACAACATAGATAAGAAAGATATGAAATATTTTTAGAAAAATGAGTTACAACAACTGAAACAAGTGAAAACTCTAGCATAAAATGAAAGCCAATCAACTGTTTCTGAGAAGACAACTCTTGACAACGCAGGGTCTTCACAGAGAAAATACTGTGTGGAAAAAAAACTACTTCAGCAACATCTCTATTATTCACATAAATTCACCAAAGTTAATTTTAAGTAAAACTTTAAATAAAAAATTTGAAACACACAAAAGGTACAATTTAAAATATGGAAGGCCCTACTGCAGGTTTAACAAAATAAATCTAAGAGACAAACCATTTGATATAGCCAGTGTTCTCCCAAGAAAAATATTTCAATTTTTTTCTGAGTGTGAGAAGAATCTGTTGTCTTATTAGAAAGTTTGAAGCGAGGAGAAGGGGAAATACAGGAATCTGTAATATGTTGACAAAGCTGTCACAAGAACCACCAAAGGATGTTGCTAATAACTGCTTTCTTCTCTAAAAATTTAAGCAGAGTTTAGACCATATGAAGAATGGTAAAGGGGCAAATGATGTGTTTTCTGACTTAAGGCACAAACTAGCACTTATTTAAACAGGATATTTACAAAACAGCATCCCTCAATCTCTTTCATTTCCCTTTATCTCTAATTTAACTGAGAACAATTTTTTTTTTTTTTTACATTTAAAATACATTAAACAGAAAGTTCTGTTTCAAGACAGTACTGGCCATCCTTCTCAATTTTTTTCTTACAATAACTCAAGAAGCTGGAAGAGCAAGGAAAGTGATGTTTTTCTTACATAGTAACTTCTCAACTAAGCTGCATATAAATAAACAACTAAATACTTTAATTCCTAATAAATGTAATGAGAAACTACTAAAATAACCAAAACATTGTATTCTAATAGCATAATTTTGTGGCATTTTCCATAAAATAAACATAATGCTATTATTAAGGGAACAAAGGGCCAGATACACATTTATCCTGAATTAAGAAAAAGGTAAGGCCATATAAATTATTACAGGGAAGTTTAGACGGCTTTCCTTAAAACAATTTATTCCAGTAGATGTTATATAAACATGCAATGAAACTTTTAAAAGAATTTAACCAAGAAGTATACAGTACTGCTTAGAAAATAGAGAATATTAAAATATCCTTTCTCAAGTTAAAGGATTATGAATCAGATTGTCTAGATTGAAATATAAATCTTATTCATCAATTTAACTGCAAACCCACTTTCTTGGAAATATCTAAACTGTTTTACACCGGACTCATTCTTAGAACTCTATTTGCTATAAAATACATGTGTGAAATTATATCCTTTAAGGAAACCGATCAAAGAAGAGAGATTATGTGGTGATCTTGAAAGGACTGGGAAGGCTTTCAAAAACTGAAGGCTCCTGTAAAGATAACAGTGAACAATGAGAAAAAGTAACTAATGTAACATGAAACTTTCATCAGGAAACACTTAGTGAATGTGGTTCCCTCAAATCTCACAGAACTAGTAAGCCTAAGGTTTTATGTCTGTCCTTCTTCTACCTTCCTACAGATGCCACACCACTAATTCCTACAACGTGTTAAACATACTTCATCACTTCCTAGCTTCTTTTCCTCTTCTCGTATAACACATACTTTCTGCTCCTTTAAATACCATACTACTTTGTCATTCCTGAAAATGATCATGTTGTTTCACACCTTCAAACCTGTAAAAAACGCCTTTCTCTAGTTCCACTGATTCATCAAAAAATTACTATTCATCCCCCAAAGTCATACTGAGATGTCACTTTCTTCTCTTAATGTTTTCTCTGACCCTCTTACCCATAAGTACTCTCTCTATGGCACTCCAAATATCTTATAAAAACATGTATTCTACTTGAAGTATAATTTTTAAAAAAAAAAAACAGGTATTACTGAATATATTACATATACTGAAACGATTATGTTTTATCTCCCTTACCAGAATACAAACTCATGATAGATAGAGCCTAAAATTTATTAATCTTTGTGGACGTGCAGACCCCGACGTGGGGCTAGGCAAACTACATGGTTCAAGGGCTCTGATCCCTTCCCTTCTCAGCTTTTTCTTTCAAGGTCTATCCCTATCAACCTTCAATATTAGACTATTTCCAGGATGTCTACAGTGTGACCATATAGAATACTGTTTCCCACAAAAACAAAGTTACAAATAAATATTTAGCAATATTTAGAATGCATAAGAACTCATTTGTATTATTGATTCTTTGGGAAAATAGACCACAATGAACATTCCCACTTGGAAATGTAAAGAATAAAAAATATATGTCAGCTATTGGTCTATATTAATGTTAACACTCTGCTGGACCAATATTGTAATGGCAAGCCATTACCCTAGGGGCATGGCTTAATTAGGCCCTGATTTGTGCTTCCTATTAAAGGGTTCTTTCCATC